GGCCTCAGCAGAATTTAGCCAAGGAGGTTCTTAGCTAAGGTCCCTGCCGATACTCACATCAGCTGACATAGAGCCCTATGGCGGAGTGCAGTGAAGGCAATGATCATCCCAGCCTGGAATGAAACAAACTGCTGGCCTGTTTTTTGTTGCAGCGTTTTGCCACAGCTGTCGCACATCAGTCAAAAGTGCCGCCCAGGTGCATTTGCAATGCTGTGGGTGGGAATCTATTGAAATGGAAACAGAAAGGAGTGACAGGTTCTATGACTCTGTGAGGTTTAATGGAGGGTGTCAAATCTAATTGGACCTGTTCCTTATGGTTCTGTATGATGTCAACAAGGCATTCAATTAAATCAAGGGAATAATAATCCCTTGGTAGGTGCTGTAGAGAACTGCAGTTTCCCCAGCAAAAGAGAAAAGTCTTGGTTGTGCCCACTCAAGGACATAAAGTTGTGGAAAGATGTGGAGCTGGACTACTTTAGTGCCTAAGGAAGAACATCCAGGTGGCCCCCTCCCTTCCCACTAGTTGATAAGGGGCATGATTCACCGGGATGGGGGGGTTGTCTCTGCCCCCCCCCTACAGCTCCCATTCATTTCAGAAGGGTCTGTGCAGCACAACTTCCTGGAGAAGGAGCACAGTGCAGAGAACAGAGGATCTGCTTTGATTGCAGAAGTTCCCAGTCTCTGGCCTCCCTAGCTAAAAGGAAAGGTTCAGGAAGCAGATAATGCAGAAAGACCTCTCTCTGCCCAAGACCCTGGAGAAAAGCTAGCTGCCAGTCAGTGTAGGCAATCCGGGGACAGATTTCCAGATCTGGGGACTGTCCCAGGGAACGTTGCAGATCTGACTCTCCCACTAATAAGGTTGTATCTGAAGAAGTGTGCATGCACACGAAAGCTCATACCAAGAACTAACTTAGTTGGTCTTTAAGGTGCTACTGGAAGGAATTTTTTTTGTTTTGACTATGGCAGACCAGCACGGCTACCTATCTGTAATAAGGTTGGTTTGTCTTAATACAGCAGGGTCTCTGTATGGTGCTGAGTTTTTTCTCCCTCAAGACTAATCTCCTATTTCAAGGCTTAGTTTTATGGCAGTATGAAAGGCAAAACTGACTGGCCTTTTTTATCCTAAGTGAGCTGGTGATTCCAGAAGACTGCACTGAGTCTTATGACGGAAACAAGCATGCTTTGGGACTGTGGAATTCAGCTTAATGCTATGATGTTCATGTGATACCAGTAACTGAGCAGGCTCCTGAACCTTGATCAGATAATGAGCCGGCTGGGCAGGCTCTGAGGCTGTCTCCAAGGATGCGCCACTGGGTGCACCAGTGTGAGCAGACCCAACCTACTTGCAGGAGTGCCCGCTTGCTTGTCCCATTGGTTTGGACCTGAAAAATACAAATGACCGTGTCCTCCCTGATCTTCAAAAAGAGGGCAAAGGGTGCTGAGACAACAACTTTCCTTGTGCCTAGTCATGTATGTTACATCTCTGCTTTGAAGCACTGAACTGTGTAACCTGTATGTTTAGGCCATGTAGTGACTTGTGTAATAACTGAGCCAAGAGTCTGAGTCCTATGCCCACAAAAGGGAGTAATAACTGGGGAATAACAGCTTCCTGCCTTGGGGAATAACTGAGCCAAGAGTCTGAGTCCTATGCCCACAAAAGGGAGTAAGGCAGGAGGCCAACAGTAGGTGGCACCAAAGCCAGTGACAGGCAGAGCCAACTAATTCTAGCTTTGTCTCCCTTCTCCTTCCTGCTGAGTTCTTTGTGGGCAACAGTGACACTAAGGAAGAGGACGTTTACAGGCAGATTATATGTAAGAAGGCAGGAAGCTGGGGCTGGTTGTTCTGCTCTCTCTCAATGGCAATGTTTTCCTTGCACAATGCAAGAAAGAAGCGCACCCAACAAGGCAGATTCCTTTAAATGAATGCTTTTGATGAGGAGAGTTTTAAATCTATTGGCAATGGCAAATGGATTAATGACGCCATGCATTACACAACTGGGGGTACAGCAGGAAAAAACCATATCCAAAGCAGTTTCACATGGTCTTTCACCTATAACTGCTTTCTTGTAAAAGAACAGTCCAACTTCAGTGATGATTATCTGGAAAGTGACTTTACACATTGTGCTAAGATTCACCCAGTTTTCAAGCTACAATACTTATGCAATCATGTCATGGCGGTTAAAATTAAGACAGAGATAGAACAGGGAAAAGAGCACTTTAAACCAAAAAAGGCATTCTTAAGCATCAAACACTGAGGTTTTTAATCCTCAAAGTGAAATGAAATGTATTTTGTAATTAGTGGAGCTGTACATCTATTTTAGTCACTCCAAGCCCTTCCCATCCACCAACCAAATACTGTATTATATTTCAACAAAGCAATTTTCAAGGGAAAGACGGCCAGTATGCCACAAACAGGAGCAATGATGTAAAATTACACACACACACACACACACACACACACACACACCGCTTTCTTCCTTTTGGTCAACTTTTTTAAAAATAAGCACCCAGTCTTCATTCATTCTATCATAGAATGTTGCAGGAGTGAGAAGCAACTGCTGTTCTTTCCAACTGTGCCCCAGATTGCAGCCCATTTACTTTGCTCCACAGAATTCAATGGAGGCCACTGAGATCCAAGCCAGCCCCTCCTCACATAAGGTAAAGGTAAAGGGACCCCTGACCATTAGGTCCAGTCGTGACCGACTCTGGGGTTGTGGCACTCATCTCGCTGAAGCTGCCGCTGCCACGTTTCCCGGGGACAGATTTCCAGATCTGGGGACTGTCCCAGGGAACGTTGCAGATCTGACTCTCCCACTAATAAGGTTGGTTTGTCTTAATACAGCAGGGTCTCTGTATGGTGCCAATTTTTCTCTCCCTCAAGACTAATCTCCTATTTCAAGGCTTAGTTTTATGGCAGTATGAAAGGCAAAACTGGTTGGACTTTTTTCTCCTAAGTGAGCTGGTGATTCCAGAAGACTGCACTGAGTCTTATGACGGAAACAAGCATGCTTTGGGACTGTGGAATTCAGCTTAATGCTATGATGTTCATGTGATACCAGTAACTGAGCAGGCTCCTGAACCTTGATCAGATAATGAGCCGGCTGGGCAGGCTCTGAGGCTGTCTCCAAGGATGCGCCACTGGGTGCACCAGTGTGAGCAGACCCAACCTACTTGCAGGAGTGCCCGCTTGCTTGTCCCATTGGTTTGGACCTGAAAAATACAAATGACCGTGTCCTCCCTGATCTTCAAAAAGAGGGCAAAGGGTGCTGAGACAACAACTTTCCTTGTGCCTAGTCATGTATGTTACATCTCTGCTTTGAAGCACTGAACTGTGTAACCTGTATGTTTAGGCCATGTAGTGACTTGTGTAATAAACCTTGGGGAATAACTGAGCCAAGAGTCTGAGTCCTATGCCCACAAAAGGGAGCAAGGACAGGGAGGGGGTAAGGCAGGAGGCCAACAGTAGGTGGCACCAAAGCCAGCGACAGGCAGAGCCAACTAATTCTAGCTTTGTCTCCCCTTCTCCCTCCTGCTGAGTTCTTTGTGGGCAACAGTGACACTAAGGAAGAGGACGTTTACAGGCAGATTATATGTAAGAAGGCAGGAAGCTGGGGCTGGTTGTTCTGCTCTCTCTCAATGGCAATGTTTTCCTTGCACAATGCAAGAAAGAAGCGCACCCAACAAGGCAGATTCCTTTAAATGAATGCTTTTGATGAGGAGAGTTTTAAATCTATTGGCAAATGGCAAATGGATTAATGACGCCATGCATTACACAACTGGGGGTACAGCAGGAAAAAACCATATCCAAAGCAGTTTCACATGGTCTTTCACCTATAACTGCTTTCTTGTAAAAGAACAGTCCAACTTCAGCGATGATTATCTGGAAAGTGACTTTACACATTGTGCTAAGATTCACCCAGTTTTCAAGCTACAATACTTATGCAATCATGTCATGGCGGTTAAAATTAAGACAGAGATAGAACAGGGAAAAGAGCACTTTAAACCAAAAAAGGCATTCTTAAGCATCAAACACTCAGGTTTTTAATCCTCAAAGGGAAATGAAATGTATTCTGTAATTAGTGGAGCTGTACATCTATTTCAATCACTCCAAGCCCTTCCCATCCACCAATTTTCAAGGGAAAGACGGCCAGTATGCTACAAACAGGAGCAATGATGTAAAATTACACACACACACACACCGCTTTCTTCCTTTTGGTCAACTTTTTTTAAAAACAAGCACCCAGTCTTCATTCATTCTATCATAGAATGTTGCAGGAGTGAGAAGCAACTGCTGTTCTTTCCAACTGTGCCCCAGATTGCAGCCCATTTACTTTGCTCCACAGAATTCAATGGAGGCCACTGAGATCCAAGCCAGCCCCTCCTCACATAAGGTAAAGGTAAAGGGACCCCTGACCATTAGGTCCAGTCGTGACCGACTCTGGGGTTGTGGCACTCATCTCGCTTTATTGGCCGAGGGAGCCGGAGTACAGCTTCCGGATCATGTGGCCAGCATGACTACGGCATTCCTGGCGAACCAGAGCAGCACACGGAAATGCCGTTTACCTTCCCGCCGGAGCGGTACCTATTTATCTACTTGCACTTTGACGTGCTTTCGGACTGCTAGGTTGGCAGGAGCAGGGACCGAGCAATGGGAGCTCACCCCATTGCGGGGATTCAAACCGCCGACCTTCTGATCGGCAAATCCTAGGCTCTATGGTTTAACCCACAGCGCCACCCGTGTCCCTCTTCACATAGTCTTTCCCTTATTTTTCACATAGTCTTTCCCTTATTTTCCTGTGCAGGTCATGTTCCTGTAGTTTGTAATCCATGAGATTTGGGTGAATTACTAATTCAGTTCCCTTGTATTCCCAGAATGTATTAATTTGGAAAGTATGTAAATTTTGACGTTTCTCATCAAAGCCCTGAAGTGACCCCATGACGAAAATAAAGACACCTGCACCCACTGTATTAACGCCGCAAGGGACTTTTTTATGTGTTCTTATGACGGACTGGTGGCGGAAGGAGCAAGCCACATTCCAGTGAGTGAGCCTGTCCCTGGCTGTAATACTAGTGTTAGCCTGCTCACTGGTCAGAGCTGAAGGAGCTAAAGGGCAGAGAGGACTTCCGGGTTGGTGCCTCCGGCAATGGCAGTGTTCCTCTGACCGGGAGGAACTTGCCCCGTGGGAATTTGGGTCTGTACCGCCACGGCGAAGGCGGAGACCCGTAAAAGTCACAGGCGGGAGAAGCCAGTGAACGTGGGATTCGGTGGACACCTTTTGCGCCTCCCCTACTCACGGGGAAACCCGGTTTGAGGGATCCGGAGCGACGTGGGGTGAGCGGCGTGGTGCTTCGAATCGTCTGCTTCTTCCACGGAGCGAAGCCGCATAGCTGTTGCCAGAGAGCACTGACTTTTTGCTGTGGACAATTGGACTCTAAAGTAATTACCCGTGAGTAAAGCTGAAGTGGGAGAATTGGATTTTTAAACGTTTAATTTGGCATCGAAACGGGGAGGTTCAACACAGGAAGTCCGCCTCCCCTTTTGTAAATAAATTAAGGTGATGAGCCTGCAAGCTGAAGTCTTGGAAACCCTTTTGTAAAAAGACTAAAATCTCCATCAGCAAAGAACTAAACCCCCCCTTTGGAGACAGGAGAAGGGGGGGGGGAAGTGGTGGACTGAATATGCCTGTACGAAAGAGGCGCGCTCAGTGAAAGAGGACGACCATCCCAGATTGAAGGAGGGTACCCTTCTGCAGTCAAGGGTATGCGGTAGTTGTGCTCCCCTGCTAGAACCTGCAAACCTTTGGCTAAGCATCTTCCAAGAACACCATTTGAGACATAGTGCATCATTGCCTTACTTGGATGTGTCTGGAGTCTTGGAAGCTGGACTACCCTACGTTCTCCTACAAATGGACCTTCAGGGGTTGCAGCTTCGAGCAGGGCAGCACAGCTCTCGTATACCCTTGACTGAAGAAGGGTACACTCCTTCGATCTGGGATGGTCGTCCTCTTCCACCGAGCGTGCAGCTTCAGGAGGGACACACATGGTAACTAGAAAGTTCCTCTTGAATTTGAAGAGGCGGTGACAGGCTCCGATACCTCCCAAGTCAAGCCAAAACGCTTCATCACAATGATAGCAGCAATATAGATGGAGACATTCTGCCTGAAGGACATCTAGGTGAGTATCCCTTGCTTGGTTGGGAAGAAAATTTGTATTGTGTTCCTTCTGCCACTTTTTGTTCTAAGACTCTTTCAGGTGGCGGTGACCGAGTTCGTCAGAAGAGGCCCTATTCGGTGTCACCACAATGAAGCTCACCTGCAGGTAGGAGAACACTTCTTCTTTTCTTCCAGCTTCTCTTTCTTCC